GGGCTCTGCATATACCTGCTGGCGATACCGACAGAGAACGCTAGGTCTGGACGAGTGTGAAGCAGGTATCTTAAACATCCAACATTACGTCTATAGCTTGTTGCATCTATTTCTGGTTCATCATCTGCTTTAGAAACCTTGAGTCCGAAATCCATAGGTATAAGAGTCGCATTGCAGGTTTCAAGGCCAGCTTCTTTTAGGATTCTTCTTGCATATGCCTCTTGCTTGATTTCAATTCCATCAGCTCCTTGATGAACCTCGATACCAAGATAGTAAGTGAGTTTTCCGAGATCTGACATCTCAAACTTAGAAGCCATTCCTTTCTTAAACTCACTTAACGCCTTTAAGTTGTTACCTGTGACGAACAAGTCGTCAACGTAGATAGCAACTATGAGCAGACTTCCTCCTTCTTCCTTACGATACACTGATGTCTCCTTCATACATCTTAGGAATCTCATGCCTTTCAGGATTTTATCCAACTTTGTATTCCACGCCCTTGGTGCTTGTCGCAAGCCGTACAGGGCTTTAAATAGTTTGTAAACTTTGTGCTCTTGTCCTTTCACTTCAAATCCCTCCGGTTGGTCAACAAACACGTCTTCTTTTAGCTCACCATGTAGGAAGGCCGTTTTTACGTCTAAATGATGAATTTCCCATCCGTGTGATGCAGCTAGTGCCATCAAAAGTCTTATGGTTTCAATTCTAGCAACAGGTGCAAAAACTTCATCAAAATCCACTCCTGATTCTTGTATGTAGCCTTTAGCAACAAGCCTTGCTTTGTATTTGTTGATGGTGCCATCCGCATTTTTCTTTATCTTGAAAATCCATTTTAGACCAATGACCTTCATGTTGTTTTGTCGATCAACAAGGGACCATGTGTTATTCTTGTTAATCGAATGGATTTCTTCTTCACAAGCTTTTCTCCATTCCAAACAATTCTTTGCTTCTTTGTAGTTCCTTGGCTCGCTGTCTATTGATAGAAGAAGTTTCTCGCATTCGATCGAGGCTTGCAACACAAAATCTTCGAGATGTTTAGGTTTTCTTATTTGTCTTGATGATTTTCTCAAAACTGGTACCTCTGGTGTCGTATCTTCATCTTGATTACCATAGGTATTTAATTGTTGTTCTGAACCGTCATCGTTATCGTCCCCCTCGTTTTCGAATTCTTGAAAGTCTTCTTCTTCGTTAAGATCTTCTTCTTCGTTATGATTTTGAGTACCTGTAAGAACAGGTCCTTCTCCAACGTCTTGAATCTCTCCCCATCTCATGTGAAACATTCCCGGATCTCTGTTTGGTTCGCTGCTTGTTTCTTTCCAATTCCAGTCAGATTTTTCATCGAACACCACGTCTCGGCTTACCACAATCTTTTGTTTTGAAGGATTGTACAGTCTGTAGGCCTTCGAGCCTGGTTCGATCCCAAGATGAACTAGAGATATCGATCTGTCATCTAGTTTTCTGAGGTTTCCGGAATCAATTTTTGAGTAGGCAATGCATCCAAAGATCCGTAGGTGTTCTACACTTGGTTTCTTTTCTCGCAAGCGTTCGTATGGCGTCATGTTGTTGAGAGCTTTCGTAGGGATTCTGTTAATGACATAAGTGGCATGTCGTACAGCCTCTCCCCATAAGTAATTCGGAACCTTTTTGGCTTTAAGCATGCTTCTCGTCATTTCCATTAAGGTTCTATTTCTTCTTTCAACAACGCCGTTTTGTTGCGGAGTGTAAGGTGCAGTCAACTGTCTTTTGATCCCTCTTTCTTCACAGAAATCCTGAAATTCCTTGGAGGTGAACTCTCCTCCTCTGTCTGTCCTAAGAGTGATGATTTCTTCTCCAAAGTCTTTCTCGACCAAGCATTTAAACGCCTTGAACTTGTTAAAAGCATCTCCTTTTTCTTTTAACAGGATGGTCCACATATACCTTGAGAAGTCGTCTATAATAACAAACACGTATCTGTTCTGTGCTAGTGTAGGTGGTGTAATGGGTCCACATAGATCGGCATGGAGGAGCTCTAGTGGTTTTGCAGCTCGAGACAGAGCTGTTTTCGGAAAACTCTGTCGTGCTTGTTTTCCGATCAGACACGATTCGCAGATCTTCTTCTCATCTCTTATTGATGGTAAACCGTAAACCATCTTCTTTAGAGACATGTCTTTGATCGTTTTGAAGCTTACATGTCCTAGTCTGGCGTGCCACTTCCAAGTTCCATCTTCGATTTTCGTGTACAAGCAAATTGGTTTACCGATCTTGAGCTCAATCTTGTACAGGCGATTAGGTGATCTCATAACTTTTACCAGAAGCCTGTTGTTAGGGTCATGAACGGTCAGATAATCTTGTCTCATTCGAACATCACACCCGATCTCAGTGGCTTGTCCTAAGCTTAAGATGTTGCTTTTGAGTTCGGGAATGAAGTATATGTCTTTGACAAGAATCTGTTCATCAGTTTTGCTTTGAAACAAAATGGATCCCTTTCCTTCGATCTTAACGCATGATCCATCTCCGAACTTCACCTTTCCTTTGATGCTTCTGTTAAGTTCAGAGAAATATGTTTCATTACCGGTCATATGGTTACTCGCACCATTGTCGAGATACCACATACCTTCCTCGCCCTTGTAGTTCATTGGTATGAGTTTATCTTCATTCAAGAAAACAATCTCATGCATATATAGCATAGCATCATCATCAGCTTCCTCTGTTTCTGTGATGTTTGCTTCTTGTAATTTTCGAATCCTTTCTGGGCACTTTGAGGCAAAATGACCAGCTTGATCACAGCGATAGCAGATCACACTTGAAAGGTCTCTTCTTTCCCTGTTTTGCTCGCTTTGATTTGACTTGTCTTGAGAGTTGAATCGACCTCCTCTCCCTCGTCCTCTATTACCTCTTCCTCGTCCTCTTCCATACGAGGTTTGTTGTTCTGAGTTGGCGTATAGCAGTTTGCTCTGCGTATCATCTTGCTTGTCATCGTCGATAATACGTTCCTCATAGGCTTTAAGTCGGCCAATGATATCTTCAAAGCTAGTCTTCTTTAGGTCCAGAACTTGTTCTAATGAGGCAATGATGTGAATAAATTTGTTTCTCGGTAACCCGTTGAGAAACTTCTTCACTAGTTTGGGCTCGTCGATCGTTTCTCCAAGTGCTGTTGTTTTCGATGCAATCTCCGACAACTTTCCAGAAAATCATCGATTTTTTCTGTATCTTTCATCTTCAATTTTTCAAACTCTGCCATTAGGGTTTGAAGTCTTGCTTCTCTGACTCGCTCAGCTCCTAAATTCCTAGATTTTATTGCTTCCCACACTTCTTTAGGAGAATTTTTCTCACCGACTTGTAAGATCAAGTTCTCCGGGATGGATTGGAAGAGTAATCCTGTTGCGATATCATTCTTAGTGGTATCTTCTGACCCTGGATCAATAGTCTCCCACACTTTATGAACGCGCAACAGCACCCTCATTCGCATTGCCCACACGGTGTAATTTGTGGTGGTAAGCATCGGGCATTGAATTGAGTTCGGAATTGTATCTTTTGTCTGTGCCATCGGAATCACCTCTCCCATGGTTGTGTATCGGAATCACCGCTCTGATACCAAATATAAGAGTAAGATCGTAAACGTGCTTAGCTTTGTGAATAAGAATAACTCTCTTATATTAATGCTTAAGAAAAATATCTCAAAATCTTAAACACCCAAAGCTCATATGTAATGCCACATCTCGACACCCATATATATAGCAAACATAATTTCCTTATTCTAATTGTATTAGATAACTCCTAAAGCAACTAGAACCATCTAGAAACCGACTAAGCCTTTCTTTTCTTAATCCGACTTGATCAAGGTTAACTTGGGCTTGAAGTAATGTTGAAGTTTATCCAACAATTGAGTGTATGTGTTAGTGTTTTGTCGTTATATATAGATAAACCACAGATAGTCTTTGCTTGGGCTAGTCTTGAAGATGATGCATGCAGTCATCTTTGTATTCAATCGAACTGGAGTTGGTCCTGATCCGAATATGTTTGTTATGCAAGTGAAAAGTAAACCAATCCCTTGTTGACACTCTTGGACCTTGACTTCAAGTTTACAATTTGACTAGTTCCTAGTTCCTACACTCGTTATGTCGATTCGATTTTGTGCTTGACGAGAATCATATATTGCGTTTATCAACCTAATTTTGTAGATACAACACTCTATAAAGTCTACCCTGTGTCTGTACCATAAGAATACTATTAAAAAGCTTCAACAAAGGTTATCACTTGTAACAAAATAAAAAGTGTTAACAAAGCCAATTGTTTTTTTGGAACCACGGGGCTAAGTGATTCACTTCATACGAATTCCTTTCTCTTCTTTTTTTATTAAACATCTTCCTTTTCGACAAAAAAATCTTCATTAGTTATATAGTATGAGAATTTACAAAGTCCTTCTGAAACGTAGGTATTAACCAACGAGGAAGGTAAGTGCGATTAGAATAGTAGAGATGATCATGATTTACAGGCTCCTCTTCTGCTAGACAATGTGCAACCTCATTTGATGTATTTTTATTTATTTTTTTGTCGCATTTGATGTATTTTTATAAAACAATTATTTTGACTAAATTGCCACAAAAAAAAAAAAAAATTATTTTTTGACTAAACTAATGGGCTATTTAGGCCTTCCATTACATCCATTATACAAGAGTCTCAAGTCGGGTTAATCTGTCTCC